TTCCAATATGAAATTTAAGTCGTATTCGTTTTTTTTTAGGTCTTATTCTTGGAAATATTTTTTCCATTTATTCTTCTTCTTCTCAATCAAAACGAGAATCTATCAACACTAATTAAGTATATGCAATCATACAAACACCTCAACAGCTGTCTACGGATATCTATCATCATAAAAATGAAGCAACTACTTGTTTCAATATCCGTTTAGAGAAAAAATATAAGCCTGTCTTCATAGAGATGATCGATGAGAATAAAGAAAACGAGATAACATTAATATAGGAAAAAAAAGAAATTCATAGTCTCAGCAGGAAATGAACTATTGCTAGTTTTTTCGTTAGTAAAAATTAGACAATCTGTCAATCAGCTATTTGATTTCCAGCTGAGATGAAAAAGGACAAGAATGTATAACAAGTGAACAAGTCACTATTTTATGCTTAATAACAACCTATCTTATACAAAAAAAACTTACGTTTTGCGTCTGTTTATTGTCAAGTCCTGTTATCTACTACTGCATATCTCTTTTTGCATTTGAGTGCATATGCTTTCTTTCGTTTGACGTTTTATTGTTCTCTATCATTCTTTCTTTTTCTTTCTTTTTCTTTCTTTTCTGTCTCTCGTTTTTTTCTTCTTCTCTTTTATTCATAGCAATCTGATTTGGATTATGACTACCTCCTTTCATTTATGGATTGAAAGAAGAAGAAGAAGAAGAAGAAAAAAAAGAAAAGAAATTTGTCACAATCTCTCTACACCTGTCGAACAAAATCAATAAGAGAAGAGAATTCGTTGTTTTGAAATGCTTGAAGGAAATTAGCTAGAATAAACAGCAACACACTTCAACTTCGATCTGTTCATATGTGTACGTGTGCATATGTATGCTAAGCAAGGTTTCTGACATACATACACATCCATAGAGACTCACTCACTTGATCACAGTGTGAAGAAACGAAGACCGACAACAAAAGAATGTAAGTGTGTAATGGCATGTGACGAAGTAATACGAATATATTCATACACGACATCCTAGATTCAAATTTACGCATAGACATAGATAATACATGTCAAAACTGTCAAATATTGCATATATATATATATATATATACAATGTGATTACATGGACAACAATAGAATAAATAGGATATGTATACAAAAAAGAAAACGCAAATAAATGAATGAAAAAAGTATGACGAAAAAAAAACAGAAGTTTGTTTTTTTTTCTTCTTCTTATATTCTTGTTCTTTTACTTGAAAAGAAATCAATCGTAAATTGTATCTTTTATCAACTCAAAATAAAACTAACAAACATTTTTCCGAATCATTTCTCAATCTCATACATCATGCACGTCAATTGAATGGATCACTTAGAATATGATTCGTTTCTCTTCTATTAAAAATAATAATTATAATGAGAATAGATACAAAGGTTGTATAGCTATCTTCTACGTGTGTTTCCCAAAAGAATACCTATTCTAAATGTCACTGCTTGTTATAGGACAGAAATACGAAAACGACTATCTATTCATTATGTCACTAATGAAATAATAAGAAGAGAAGAAAAAAAACTAATACTACCATTATAAGAGTAAATATGCACATATCCTTGGGGTTTGTTCAACTGTTTCTGCCTTTTGCTTTTCTACTTCATAAGAAGAAGAAGAAAAAAAATTGAAACGTCGCTAGAGACAAAGAAAAAGACCTCAAGGTAAAATACGATTTAACTTCAATTATACATAGATCTAATATATATATTTATATTTATATGATCAAATAGAAATCACTCTTATAATGCTCAAGATAGTTTATGCATTATGTCAAAAGACTATTACTCTCTTTAAGCTAACAGTCTGTCATTATTCCCACATTGCTTATCTTCCTCCTACATAACAGAACTTCGCGTTTTCTTCTGTCTGTTTTGCGTACACATACACATTACTGTAATTGATTTGGGCCAATGTTAATTCGCTTTTTCTCAATAACAATTAGGAAATAGTAGAGAAAAGAAGAAATAAGAAAGAACACATTCAATCAGCTGAATGAAAGAAAAGATATTATCATCATCATCATTATTACTAATCATATATCTTTACTTGAACGAATGTTAAATAATGGCAAGCGTATTTCTTAACATTCTATATGAGCAGCTGTTTGTTTGCCTTCTTGTTTAAACCAGTTGCTCAATTTCGTTATCTACAGTCAACTAGTTATCATCATATGATTGACGCATAAAAGCGTGTCATACAATTATTTTCATTCGTTGATGCTTTTTCTCTCTCTCTCCTCTCTCTCCCTCTCATTCTCTTAGGTTTTTTTCTTCTGTCAACAAGTTCTTCCACCCTCTGTCTTTCTTCTTAATGTTTGCTCTTTGATTATATGTTGATAAGCTAGAAACAGACACACACACACACACAAAAAAAGAAACTCTAAGAACGTCAAAATTATCGAAAGGAAATAAAGAACAGTTGACACTTTTGAAAGCTTATTAAAAGGAAGAAGGAACTTCCTTGCTTTGAACTATATTAGCAATATATCATGTTATTTGATACTGATGTATTTCTATTACTAACACTAAAAACTACTATTCAATATGTTAATAATAACAAAAAACATCAGCTATTCATTTCTTTATTGATTATATTAATTTGATAAAATCTACAGTCAAGGCAAGAAAATAGTCAGGTGATATAATTATTGATAAGGAAATAACTAATGGAGCATATGTTTCATATTTTAATAAAACCTCGACTTACCTATTTCCACTTAATTCAATTTATTCTTTATATATATATACATGTCTATATACTACTTAGGCGTTATTTCTTTTTTTTTTATTCACTCTTTCTCGTAATGCTCATCAGTATGTATCTGCACGGATGTGATCTTTTACATATTGCTATACTGGTGATTACATCGACATCAAACAAGAGAAAAGAGTGTGAGAAAGAAAGAACGAGAGTATTCTATCATTGATGATAAAATATAAAGAGAAAAAAAGAGAACAATATAAATCAGTAATTCAGTGATGAATATCTTCTTTATATAGTCTTTTTTTGGCTCTTAGTTATTTTTTTTTGCCTCCCACACGTGTACAGACACAATGACAATATCAACGCTACTGTGTACAACCTTAACCCACCATTATCAACGCTTCCGGCAGTACTAAGCAAATCGGAAAAACATGTATCTTTTGGGCAGCATCATCGGTTGAAATAACAACATATATATATATATATATATATAAAGATAGATAGAGAGAACAAGAGGATGTGTCAAATCGACAAGCTACAGAGACTTATTGGAGACGTGTATGTGAATGTGAAAGATGATTGATAATTGTACAAGTCGAAATCTTAGAGACAAGATTTGACATAAATATGACAACATGCATCGAATGTCAGACAGAGATAGACGGGAGCAAAAGTTTTTTTGTTTCGGATTTAACAACAATTATATGCCTTAAACCAAATGGCATAGTCTCATTATCGGTAGCGGCTGCTTTTGCTATTCTTGCTTTGACAGCAGTCAAAATCCCACAGGGTATAACACGCAAAAGGATTTTTTTCTATTACTAAGTGATGGCCAACGTCACCCATCAGAGAAGAAGAAGAAAGAAAAGAAGGAAAGAAAGCAAGAAAAGAAGAGAGAAAAAAAAGACAATGGGGCTACTTTATACAGCTGTCATTTCTATGTTTATATGTACAATCGTTCAAATACTTTACCTACTGATGATGTCTGATCTTAGAATATCGTCGTAGTAGTATTTGTTGTTGTTGTTACAACTTATTCTTCTATTCGTATATATATATATACATATACAAGTGACTGACGACAATAGGCGATGTGTCAAGATCGACCAACAAATGTGTACGTATGTGTCTAGTTCTCAGCATGCGTAAATATCATGACCTATCTGTTACATGGTCATTAGAAACCCCCACCCCCTATTTTTCCATTGCCGATCAATCAGATTTGCTTCTATCGACATGTAATCGATCTAACAGTCAATTTGAAAACCTTGACGACTTACCTAAATTTTTGGTTTTGTCGTTTTTAATATTTAGTTGTCTGTTCCAGATCGATTGAGAAGCACAATAAGTTTTATTAATAATTGCCCATTTCAACATGCTAATATTAACTGCTTATCTGTTTGACATGCGCGTGTGCGTATAAGGGATAGACAACAAAGCGAAAATGAAATGATGAAGTATGTGCCACAAACACACGTCGACTAAAATCAAATGTAGGCACGACCAAACACAAGTAACTATAAAAAAAACACACAACACTAAGGGAGAATGATACTGATATAAGAGGTAGTGACGTGGTGTAAAAGAAAAAGTGAAATGAAAGAAGACGAAGACATGGAAGAAAGGGAGACAGAGAGAGAGGGAGAGAGAAAAGGAAAATAACGGATACTACAATAACATACAAACATAGATGACATAAGAACGTGTGCAAAAGATATACGCGCATATACTTAAATATATATATATACACATAAAATGATAGTCAGAGAAACAACTGTTCATTGACATCCGTTTGATTACAAAAGGACAGATAAATTCAAGTCGTCAAGGGCATTTTGTATATATATTTTCCTCTAATTTTCTCTAAGTACAAAGTTCGTACGGTCACATGAAATTTAATATTTCTCTAGATATAAAATAATCGTTTATATGAATTTTTTGTCAACAATGTCAGATAAAATTATTCTGTATGAATAAATTTCAATCAAAACATATACAAATTATTAACAATATAATAAAATGATGTGAAATCGATAGTAAATTTTCGACAATATAACAAGATCATTTCAACAGACCTATAAATCATATAATTGAGGTAATTTCGTGGGTAGAAATTTTATACTTGAATTTGATCGTCATTTCGAAATGTCATTTCCTCGCTTATTACTATCGATAATCAACACATATGGATATTTATTGTTATTTTAAAACTCGGACTTGATTTATTAAGAGAAAAAACAAGAAGATTATTATAATTGTATTTATTCTAAAGCGATTAAATTAAAAGTCGTCGTTTTGCGTGGTGATGGTGAACGATTAGGTATGAAAATATTCGTTGAATCTAAAATAATACGAAATATTTTCTAGTAATTATTGACGAATGTTTACTTGGAACAAGATATGATGTTGAAAGATCTTTTTTATGTATCGGTGGAAGTCTTACTAAAATTTCGAAAAAAATAAATTCTTCAAAAATTCGTTAAATTGTTATTTTACTTGGTTGTACATATAATAAATTTTTTTCTACAAAATCGTTTTTTGATTCTAATTCTTCAAGTAACCAATAGGTTGTCTAAAAGATAATGTCTTTTGAGTTTTTTTTTATTAACAAAACAGATCAATTTACGTACCATATCACCTTTGCCCTAAAAAGAAAAATATTTAAAATGTCAAATTTTATAATATAATCTAATTAAAATTTTATACTTTTATAGGCATTGTTCCCCGTTTTTCAATTAGAAAACGACCAGTTTTATCAAGTAATTCTTTTGTATCTTTAGTCATATGTATTCGATTTGCTAAAATTTATTTTCAAGATTATTAATTTTCGAAAAAAAATCAATTGAAAATATTTACCTTCACTATTCGATTCCATTCTCGATCTATAAAGAAAATCTATTTTTTATATTTCATTAAGTAATGAGACTTACGCAGTATTAACTGTATCACCAAAAAGACAATATCTAAAATAAAATACATGTATCTATATAGAAAATCATCATCGATTTTTCTTACCGAGGCATTTTAGAACCAACAACACCAGCACATACAGGACCTGAATGTAAACCAACTCTAATACGAAGTTTTTCATCTTGTGAATATGGTATAAGACAATGACTTGCTGTTTGACGAATAAGTTCAAGAGCCATTGTTGCTATTTGATAGGCATGTTCATTTCCATTCTTTTTTGGTACACCAGAAACAACCATATCTAAAAGAACAAGTATAATACGAAATTGAGCGATTAAATGATATTTAAATTACTAACATGCATCTCCAATTGTTTCAACTTTATAAACATCGTATCGATCAATAATTGTATCAAAAGTTGTATAAACTCGATTAAGAAATTCTACAACATCAATAGGTTTACATCGACTTGCAATATTTGTAAATCCAACAATATCACTAAATAAAAAAATTGATAAATTAATTTTCATTAAACAAAAAAAAATTAATACCTGAAATATATAGTGCAAGTATCATAGTATTCAGCCGTTACAATTTGACCAATTCGTAATTGTTCAGCAACAATTTTTGGTAACATACCTATAAAAATTAAAGTCTTGTCTTCATGGTCAAGTTAAATGTGCGCCAAATTAGGAGTTTACAGATGTGTAATAGATAGGGTGTTATTTAAGTGGTCAGTAGAATAAATGAAATGGTCAGTAATTAATTTGATAGGCCCATAATAAAATTTAAACGATCAGTAAACAAAATGGGATGGAAAGTAAAAAAATATAAATTTGGGCAAAGATGGTCTACTTTTCTTTTTTTTACTGACAAAAATCATATTTTTTCGCTGCTACTTCCACAAAATCTACTGACTACATTTGAATTGTTTACTAATTTTTTTAAAAACTGGCCAATTAATATATTTACTGATATTTCAATTATTTCACTGACCGCAAAACATATTCCCTGATAGATACTCCGGACTGTGCTTGTGATGCTTAAGAAAAAATTACACAGTTACAAGCTAGAATTTATCGAAAAACTTGAAATTGGTAGACTTCAAATTTAGAGTTCACTTAACTCAGAGATGGGGAACTCCGGGGGTAAGCAACTCCAACTCCATCGATTTGGTTAAGGCTCCACTCCAACTCCTGATAAAAAAGTGTCAACTCCGGAGTTGGAGTTGCCCATCTCTGACTTAACTTGACCTGTCTTTATTTATGACATTATTCTAGATGGTATAAACATACTATATAAAAGATTTTCCGATTTATGTTTTTCTTGTTCAAGTTCGTATGTTCTTAATTGTACAGCTTGTTCAAGACTTGTTTGATAAATTGACATTTTTTTAAATATTAAATCAATCGGACTCATTTGTAATGGACACATTTTTTTTAAACTTTTTTGTATATCTTTACATGTTGGACGATCAAATGGATTTTCCATAATACATCGTTTTATTAAACGTGTATATGATGATGGTAATGGACAAAAATCTTCTTCAGTTTCATTATTAACATCATGTGTCATTAAAGCTATTTTTGGACGGTAATCTATTTTCATAATTGATTCAATATCATCATCCTTAAAAGAAATAATTATTATTTATAAAAAAAAGCAGACGAAAAAATAACTAACTCCAAATGGTTCTGATCGAGTTGCAATTTCATTTAAAATAATTCCAAATGAATAAATATCGATTGATGGTGTTAATTTTAATTCATGAATCGAAATTAATTCTGGTGCATAATAAACTCGTTTATAAGCTTCAGCTGATTGTACATAAGAATTCGTATTAAGAGTAGTTAGACGAAGATTTTCAAGACCATAATCTATAAAATATTATCAATGTTTTCATATTAGATTTAGAAAAGAAATTATACCTGTAATTTTAATTGTTAAACGTTGATCAACAACACAATTCGATGAATTTAATCGTCCATGAATAATATGTCTACTATGAATATAAGATAACCCATTGAGAATATCCATTGCAAATGAAAATCTACAAAAAACATTTTTTTCAAATTTCGTCTAGATATTACTCTATATTTTTACCGAAATGGCCATGTTATTGGTATTTTTTCATTTTGTAAAACATCACGTAATGAACCTTTTGGCATATATTCCATATAAATAATAACTTCATTCGGTGATAATGAAGCACCCATAAATTTACATATATTATTATGATTTAATGTTCGTACAAGACGAACTTGTTCACGTATACGACGTGTTAATTGAAAATGTTTATGTTTATATTTTCGAATAGCTACACAAGTATGTCGTCTATTTGAGAAAAGATATCATTTCTATTCTTTGAATGAATATATTCTTTTAATAACTTACAAATTACCAGCAGGACAAAAAATTTGTTGAACACAACTTATAGTTGATATATTCGTAGTTATACTTAAATTTGTTTCGCTTGTTTGTCGTCTAGTAAAATTCGTTTTTTGTGGATCATTTATTGATGTTAAACTATTGGATTGTTGTGAACGAAGTGCTAGAATATTCCAGAAAAGTAAGACAAAAAAGATTCATGGGAAATCTTACGTTGAACTTCTTTGACATCAATAATCCAACTAGGATCCCATAGAAGACGTTGTTCTTGTATTTTAAAATACTATAAAATGGAATTGAATAGTACATATTTTATATGATTAGAACTTACTAGACCAATTCCAATGAGTGAAGAAATGAAAAGAACACAAGTAGCAGTAATAAAACCGATATGAATAGGTTTCAATGGACATTTTCCACAATCTAATGGACAATTGGAGCAATTTTCATATTTTATATCACAAAATTTATCTCCACAAACTAAAATTTATAAAATTTAAAGGAAACTTGAAAAAATTATTTTATATAACTTACTTGCTTTACGACTAACTTGAATATTTGAACTAACTAAAGCAATATGTATCCAATCTGTTATACCAACTTTAAAATGAGCAATAATTTCTACTATTCCAAATATTGGTACAACTACAGTACTTTCATAAACTAATAAATAATTTTTTTATTAATTCTAACGATTATCGTTTTCTAACTTACTACGTCCTGCACGTCCTGCCATAACTGTACTGTGATATATTTGACCATTTGGTGGTATCCTTCGATAGAATAGTATAGAGAATAATAGAATATTAGCAACAAAAAATAATTACCATGGACCACAATATGGAATAGAACTACCAATTTCACATGCATGTACATTAATATGCCATAAACAAGTATCAGATTCTATTTTCGGATCAGAAATATCATATGTAGATTCATGTGTATGACACCAATGATACCATGATTGACTGTTATTCATTGTTCGATTTGATAATCTAATTAAAGAAAAATAAATGTGGAAACTTCGGATTTTATCCAAGAGTTATGTGTACTGCAAAAAGTGTACATGGAAATATCAGTATTTTTGCAATAACTCGAGAATGCCTCGTCCAACTAGGTTCAACTTCGAGCTCCACCGAGATCTTGATGAGACTGAATTGTGTAGAAAATTTCATCAAAATTTGTCTCTCCTTTCGAAAGTTATCAATTAAACGGACGGATGGCCATACTGACTGATTCTAGAGTGTACTCACTTTTTGAGTACACAAAAAAAGTAGCTAAAAAATACGAACGTATATAATGGTTTAGGTAATTCATAAATTGCCCAATCAAAAAAGTCAGGTAATAAATCAATTGAATAAGATATATTAAATGGAATATCTTGAGTAACTATAAAAGATTTAAATGTATTTAATTTGAACAGAAAAAAAATAGTGCGTTTACCTTGCTTCGGCGGAGGTTTAATCCAATCTATATGAACACCTGAAAATATAGGAAACTCGTTTCTATAAAATCTAAACAAATATAAGAATATTCTTACCTTTACAATTATAACCATGTTGTGCTAATGTACTTGTTAATACTGATGAAGCATTCGAAGGCCAACAATGAAATTTACTATTATCCATATTATGCCATCCACAACACATCAATATAAGATTTCCAATTAGAAACTAATCGGAAAAAATTATGATATAAACATTGAAAGGAAAACAAATACATTACCAAAATGAACATTTTTCAAATGAATAGAAAATACGAGTGATTGTAGACATCACATGAATGATAACAAAATAGTTGTCATGTGAACATACGGGATAAGCGTCTTATGATGTTTATCTTTCTATCTCTATCAATGTCATAATCATTTGAAAAATTCTATTTTATTCTCTATAGCTTAACTTATTGAAGCATTGCATATGTATTCATCATCAATTTATTAATCTTTTTTTTTGTTACAAATCTGCATGTATATATATAAATATACACATGATGTTTTTTTTTCTTTAAAAATATCAACAAACTTTCACAAAGGACAAAAAAAAGAGAAGAAGATTCCATATTTCTAAAATAAAGATATACATTGAACAAAAGAAAATACACTCGTGTTTATACAATATCTCAAGGTTTGGCAGATAAATAGAAAAGTGAGCACCAGCTCTTCGTTGAAATTATTAGAGAAAAAAAGAAACGCATGGATACTGTTCATTCAGTTAAAATAATCAAAAATTAACATGATGGTTGTTGAGAAGAACAATGAAAGAGAACAAATATATATGTATATATAAAAATAAAGATTCACCAACAAAAAAAATAAATAAGATAAAGGTTTTATCAATCACTAATTTATTGTTTTATTCAAGGAAACATATAGAAAAATATCTTATTATTTTATAATTCAACTGCATTTACGGCATTTGCTTCTGCATCAACTTGACGTAAAAGAACTTTTTTTGTTTGTATCGTTGTTACTTCAATTGGTGCCGCTGACATAAGAGAATTTGATGTAAGAAATGCAATAACAAGTTCATATGTACTCATCATAATAGCAGTATTCTATATAATACAATATATATATAAAATAATTAAAGAAATAATTTTTATTTTACCGGAATTTGTCGAATAAGATGTGTTAATAAACCTCGATATAATCCAGCTACACTTTCTTCATAATAAACTGTTCTTAATGTTTGCATAAATGTTCGATATTTACTTCCTTCTTCTCTTAAACGTGTTCGAACAACTTCATGGGGATAACATAGTATTGTTGCACATGATTTTGAACATGCTGCAGCAGTTAAATAAGATACAAAATTATATAGACTTGTATCATCAAGTGAACGACGTGATTGTAATAACTGAAATTGAGCTTTGATTTGCTCATAGAGTACAAAATGAACAATAGTTTCTGACACACCAACATACGATGCAGAAATACCTTTAAATGAATTTAATTAGACTTAAATATATATATATATTGATTATATACCTTTATAAAAACCCCATATACCATGTTCACGATAAACATTACGAATAAGATCAACAGCACGAAGATTTCTAAATAATAAAATATTAGATCGTTTAGAATATGTCAAGTAATCCGAAAAATTAAAATTCGGAAAAGAAATAAACCATCTCAAAAGGTTCTGTGGTGTGGGTGTTAATGTACAAGAAAAGTAGTCCATACCTACACTCATCCTCACCCGCCCACAATATATCCGCACCCTGAACACCCGCTGCTATAACGACGGCATCGATCGTGCCGAGCTTCGAGGAAATAAACTTATCAGATTTTGTCTAATATGTCTACACCTTTTACTTGTTGTGTCTTCTATGATTAATAAACTTCAAGTAAAAACTTTACGAATTTCTTAACAACACCATCGTTTAGAATACGAATGCTTTTCTATGATAGATTAGAGTGTACGTTAAATTATTTTATTGTAAAATTCCTTGTATACTGCATACGCATGCACTTGTAGACATATCATACGCTTTTAGTTATTCTTAATAAATATTAAACAGATCTATCAAGTAGGCTAATCACCGACAAAAATCAAAGCTTCTCCTTGTTGCAGAAATTTAAAATAAACTTAAATTTACCCCTGATCAATTTGAAGTCGAGTTTTAATAAACCATAATGGATTCGTACAAGTAGACATTGCAATACCTTGAATATAGAATGTATAAATCATAAAATCTTAATTGAAGAATTACCTGCAACAGCTGCCGAAGTTACATGTACTAAAGGTGTTTCTTTTTCCATTTTTTTAACTAAAAATGTTTTTGAATTTGCATAAGCAAAAAAATAAATAGCTCTAAAATAGCGTAAATAAATCATTCGAATTATAAATATTTTCATGCATACCGTGATGGTGCAACACCAATTACATTTGGAATAAGACCTTTAAAAAGTCCTGGAACACCTTCATATTTAACAATATTTCTAAATTTGAGATTCAAAAAGAAAAAAATTAACTCAAAAACAAAAATACCGAAGAGAACCCATTATACTTGGACGTTTAGTTTCTAATTTTGAATATGGAATAGTAGTATTACTGTTAGGTGATTTTAAGTTCAAATAACTTTTTTCGTGAGAAAATGCATTTTGTGATGATTGATAACGAGTTTTGATAACTTCTAATGGACATGTTAATACAGCACCAAATGTACCAGCAAGACTATAAAGAATAGATTTAGCAAAATTTCATCTTTTTCTTTTATTACCCTCCAGCCAATAAGTGAGCATAGGAAGAACGATTTAAATTTGTTTGTTGCTCTCCATTATTTTTTATATTAGTAGTAGACATGAAAGTTCATAGAAAATATTTTTGTTTTAATCAATAAATAAATTTTAACATATCTAGAATATATATTTTTGTTTTGTTTTTTAAGAATAAATAGTAACAAATACAAAAAACAAAAGTTCAACTAGTTTATAACAAGAAAAAATCAGATCTCGAATTTACTATATTTTTTTGTAAAAAAAAACAAAATCTTTTAAAAAACAAATTTTTGGTCTTTTTGTACTGTATTTGATATAATAATAGAAAGTATATAAAGAAAACCAAATAAAAAATTAAATTTAGCTGTTCGATTAGGTAACTTAATAAATTGTTCATGTTTAAATTCTTCACATAAATGATAAGCATGTTTTATTGTGAAAAATGGTAAAAAACAAAACCAAGAAATATTTATTATAATATAACTTATAATTACATATGGTGAATACATTAATAAACAATAGACATAATAAGAATATCGTTTACCAAGTATTATTGATAATGTTAATATACCAACAGATCGATCATGTTCCATGTCACGTGTATTATTACTATGAAGAATAGCTTCAGTACTTAATGTTAAAGGTAAAGCATAAAGTATTGGATATATACTATATTGACCTGTTTGGGCCATATAGGAAGATATGACAGTAATAGGACCAAATGTTAATAGAATAAGTATATCACCAAGAGCGATATATTTAAAACCTAAATATAATTAAGATTCTTAGATGCATTATCTATTATCATATACTCATAATTACCAATGCCTCCTGTATAAAGAAATGAGAGTGGTAAAGCACCAAAATATATTAAAGCTAAATATGGTTCTTTTGCTGGTGAATAATATGTTAATAAAACAAAGGCAATGGTTCCGATTGCATATAATATTAAACCAAGTCGAACAATTTCATTTGGTTTAAGTAAACCGTCGATTAATGTACGATCATCGATATTATCAATTTCATTTGTTTTTCCTGTTTTATTGATATTTGGTGGAATATCAACACCATGTATATAATCATAATAACTTTAAAAAATTTAAAATATCTATAGGAGAAAAGTTGATTAATTTGTCTTTTTTTACATACGTATTAAATAAATTACCAGCTGCATGAACACATAACGTTGATACAGAAGTTAGAAATAAAATATGAATCGATATAGTACGTAAATATGAATATGCAAGAGCACTTCCCAATAAAAGTGGCATCATACTGGCAGTAAACGACCATGGTCTAACAGCTAATAAATAAGTTTTAAATCTATTCATATTAGTTGAAACTAGAAAACAAGTAAAATATAAATATCTAGAGAAAAATCTAGCGACTTCATTGAATGCCAAAGTATGATATAATATTTTTGTTATTATACCTTGTCCTTATAGAAATTATACAGCAACCAGGTGATGTTTATGAATGGACAAACAAGATCGAATGAATGAATTGCCTCCTTTATTTGTTTTTGATTGCTAAGACTAATAACGAATCATATTAAAGATGAATCATATATTATTGTAGGTTTTATTTTTTTTGCTTATATTACTCTTTAGTCTGCTCTTACGAGCTTTCACTCATATTTACACAAAAAAATTCAAGTACTACGATGAATAAGATTTATAGTAAAAAGAAAAAAGGATGAGCTACATAGAGTAAATTGGAGCGAAAGTTCACTCAAAGCAAGAATAACGTTTGAATAAGTAAAGAAGTTCATACTGCAGTTTTCTTCAATTTCAAACTGATCTGTGAAGGAAAGCTAACTTAACAAATAAGAGTGGTATTTTTTCTTATATACACAATAGTCTTATTCTGATGATATTTCAGTTTTGGAACAAATCAAGTAGAAAATATCTCGGTAAACGTTTGACAGTTCAATGTAGATATTTACTAACATAATGCTATAGAAGTTTCTCTCTGATATAATTAATGCGATACGAAGCAATGCATTTCTGTAGTCCTGTACTTTTAGAAAGGAAAAATCAGAAAATAACGATTTAAATACGAAATCTTTATTAAAATTTTTATTATTATTCTAGTACTTTTGTCATATTATTCAGTAATCATTTGTCTCCAGACAAAAATACTTGCAAATTTCTATCATTCTATAAAAGTATGACTGACAACAAAATAAAATTCTCTTTAGAGATTTCCTGTAATGACAAGTATTTTCAATACTGTTTCTTATATATGCTATTTTATTTTAATTGTCAATAATGACCATACTATAACACCCTTGTCGTTTATCGGTAACTGATAAATACCTCTGATGATAACTGTAACATTTTGTCACGTATTTTTAAGAAACATGAAAAAACCAAGTAAAATACTGATAACAGAGAAAAGAATGTAAATGATGATAAAAAAGAACAATCGTGAAAGAAAATTCTTATACTATAAAATGATACATTATTCTCATTCACTTATAAGCATTTCTTCTTGAAGTAGTCTACATTACAATAAACAATGGGTAACAACAAATCAATCACATCTATTCAAAACAATGCACACGCTAATGCTAAACAAGTATCAAAATTTTCCAAGAATGCAGTTGCAAATCAACGTATGAACATGCAAAATGTCGTCCTGATTTGGTTAGACAACAATATTGATGATAATAATGCTGATTGTAGTAATACAATCAAACAATTAAAACGTGTAGTTAGCAACGTAAATAAATTTACAGATGGTGACCAGTGTGTTGAATTTATTCAAACCATTAACAACAACAAAATATGTATGATTGTTTCTGGTTCACTTGGGAAACATATTGTGCCTCGTGTGCATAATATGTCGCAAGTAGATACCATTTTTATTTTTTGTAACAATCAAGCATGGCATAAACAATGGGCCGAAGAATGGCCGAAAATAAAAGGAGTCTTCACAGATATAACATCAATATGTGAAGCTCTTAAACAAGCTGCTCACCAATGTGAGCAAAATGCCACATCAATCAGCTTTGTAGCATCGAACAAAAAGTTGGATCAATTAGATCCAACGTTTATGTATACCCAGATCTTGAAAGAGATCTTATTAACCATCAAGTTTGAAGATAAACATTTTAAAGACTTTATTACTTATTGTCGTGATATATATGATGACAATGAGTATGAATTACAAAATATTGAAAAACTGGAACGTGACTATCATGATCATACACCTATTTGGTGGTATACTTATCAATATTTTTTATATTCGATGCTGAATCAAGCATTAAGATTAATGGATGTTGATATTATTGTTCGAATGGGTTTCTTTATTAATGATCTACATCGTGATATTCAACGACTACATTCGGAACAGTTTGATGGTGAACCATCAAGTAAAACATTTACGGTTTATCGTGGACAAGGTCTTTCGAAAGAAGATTTCACCGAAATGACAAAAACAAAAGGCGGACTTCTTTCATTTAATAACTTTTTATCAACTAGTAAAAAGCGTGATGTTTCTCTCTTTTTCGCACAACAAGCTGCGACAAATCCTGATCTTGTTGGAATACTATTTGTTATGTCCATTAATCCTACTCATTCAACAACTCCATTTGCTTCTATTAGTGATGTTAGTTATTTTCATACAGAAGATGAAGTTCTCTTCTCTATGCATACCATTTTTCGCATTGGAGATATTAAACCAATAGATGAAAACAATCATCTCTATCAAGTGAACTTAATATTGACCAACGACAACGATCAAGATCTTCGTACTCTTACTGATCATATCCGACAAGATACCTTCCCAGATTCGAAAGGATGGTTTAGATTAGGCCGATTGCTTATTAGAATGGGTCAGTCTAACAAGGCTCAAGAAGTTTATGAAATTTTGCTTCATCAAACAATAAATGAAAGTCGCAAGGCACCTATTTATCATCAACTAGGTTCGATCAAACATAATCAAGGAAAATATCCAGAAGCACTTTCTTATTATGAAAAATCGCTTGCTATATATCAAAAAATACTTCCTTCCAATCATCTTAATTTGGCTGTTTCTTATGTCGGTATCGGTAATGTGTATAAGAACATGGATGATTATCCAAAAGCACTTTCATCTCATGAAAAAGCCCTTGAAATTCAACAACAATCACTTCC